TTCTGCCTCAGCCTCCCGAGTAGCTGGGACTACAGGCATGTGCCACCATGCCCGGCTAATTTTTTATATATATATATATATATATATATATATATATTTTTAGTTGTCCAGATCATTTCTTTCTATTTTTTAGTAGAGACAGGATCTCGCTCTTGCTCAGGCTGGTCTCGAACTCCTGACCTTGAGCGATCCACCCGCCTCGGCCTCCCAGAGTGCTAGGATAACAGGCATGAGCTACTGTGCCCGGCCTCAGAGCATGTAGTGTTTTGATTCTGGCTTCTTTAGCTTAACATAATGAATTTGAGATCATCTCTGTTGTGTGAATCAGTAGTTAGGTCCATTTTATTGCTGAGTAGTATTGCATTGTAAGGATGTACCACACATCATTCGTCCACTCACTAGTTGATGGACATTTAGGTTTTGCTAGTTTTGAACAATTATGAATTATGCTGCCATAAACATTCATGTACAGTGTTTTGTGTGAACATGTTTTCATTTTTCTTGAGTAAATATCTAGCAGTGAGATTGCTGGGTTATATGCTAAGTCTATGTTTATAGGAGACTTACAAGCTGTTTTCCAAAGTGGTTGTACCTTTTGCATTCTTACCAGCAGTGTATGGAGGTTTCAGATGTTCTGCATCCTCAACAACACTTAAGATTGTAAAGCTTCTATTTTTTGTTTTCAGGTTTTTGTTTTGTTCTATTTTAGCCATAAATGAATAGCGGTATCTCATTGTAACTTTAATTTGCATTTCTCTGACCAGTGATGGTAAGCATCTTTTAATGTGCTCATTTTGCATCCCTATTTCTTCTTTGGTGACATCTCTGTTCAGATTTTTAGCTCATGTTTTCATTGAATTGTTTTGTTTTCTTATTATTGAGTTTAAAATATTTTGTATATTATGGGTACAAATCAGATACGTGTTTTGCAAATATTTTCAGCCAACCTGTGGCTTGTTTTTTCATTCCCTTATTAGTGTTTTTGAAGAGGAAAAATTTTTTGTGTTGATGAAGGGCCATCTAATAAATAATGATTTATGTGTTATTGAGCTCACTGCCCAATGCACACAAGAAACCATTGCCATGTGGCACTTGCTTTTGAGAAAAGAAAGACGTTATTGCAAACACAGACAGCAAGGAGACAGGAGTGGCCTCAAATCTGTCTGCCCAATTTGGGATCTGGGGCAAGTTTGTGGGCTCCAAGGGCATGGGAAAAGATTTGCGTGGCCAGGGTCTGATTGGAGGGCTTCAAATTTGACCACTTACAGTAAGGAATGTGGAGGTGGATTTTAGTCCCAGATCTCCCAGGCCATGGACCTCTTGCTTCTGAAGAAGTTCCAGCCTCCAGGTTCCAGTCACGTCTCAGTCTTCTTGATTCTGAGGGGGTAGGAATTGTTGGCTCTGGGTATTGTTAGAGGTCAAAGCTTTTTCTATTGTGTATGCCCAGGCTACATGACTCACAATTTTTCTCTGTTGTACCTGCGAGGTAACTCAACATTTTATTATCAACAGAGTAGACCCAGTTTGGGCTGGTCCCTTTGTTATACATGAATCATGGTTTTGTTATTGTAATAAGAAATCTTTGCCTAGCTGAGGGTCACAAATAGTTATCTCCTGTGTTTTCTTCTAGAATTTATATAATTCTTGGTTTTATATTTGAGTTTATGATCCATTTTCTGCTAATTTTAGGGATAGCCAGTTGTTCTAACATTGCTTGTTGAAAAGACTAGCTTTTCTCTATTCACTTGCCTTTAAACTGTCTTGAAAATCAATTGGTTATATATGTGTGGGCCTATTTCTGGACTCTTCTATTCCATTGATCTCTGTGTCTGTCCCTTCACCAATACCACACGACCTCGATTTCTCCAGTTTCATGTTAAGTATTGAAAGCACTTAGTGAGAATCCTCCAACCTTGTTTTTCTTTTTCAAAATTGTTCTGGCTCTTACAGTTTCTTTACTTTTTCTTGTAACTTTTAGAATCAGCTTGTCAATTTGTACAGAAAGCCGTTGATCGTTGCTAGAAACAGAAATACAGGTTTTTTTTTGTTTACTGACCCTATATATTGTGACTTTGTTAAACTTGCTTTTTATTTCTAGCACTTTTTTTGTAGATTCTTTGGGATTGTCTACATAGACAATGTTTTTTTTCCTAAATAAAGACAGTTTTATTTCTTCTTTCCATTCTTTGTGACCTTTCTTTTCCTAGTTTTATTGCACTGCTTAGGACCACCAATATGATGCTGAAAAGGAGTGATGAGAGCAAATATTCTTGCCGTTACTGATCTTATGGGAAAGGTATTCAGTCTCTCGTCATTAAGTATGATGATGATAGTTGTAGTTTCTTTGTAGATACCTTTTATTAGGTTGAGTGTATTTCCTTCAATTCATAGTTTACTAAGAGTTGTTATTTATAATAAATTGATGTCAAATTTTGTTAAAAGCTTTTTTCACATCTTTCAAGATGCGTCATACGGTTTTTCTTCCTTAGAACATTGCTTTGGTGAATTTCATTTGTTGGTTTTTGTATATTGAATCAGCTTTGTATTCTCAGAATAAATCCCACTGGGCTAAGAAATTTATATATATTGCTAGATTTTTATACATTGCTGGATTTGATTTGCTAAAATTTTGTGATAGATTTTTACATGTATGTTATTAGAGATACTGGTGTGTAGTTTTTTTTGTCTTTTTTTTTAATCTTGATATAGGGCCTCTTTGAGTAAGTTGAAAAATGGTCCTTCCTATTAGATTTTCAGGAAGGATTCGTGTAAAATTAGTATTATTTCTTAAATTTTTGATAGAATTCATCAGTGAAGCCGTTTGGCCCTGGAGTTTTCGTCGTTTTTAAACTATGATTAAATTTTTCTTTAATGGATAGAGGAGTATTTATATTTATGTTATCTATTTCTTCTTGAATGGTTTTTCATACTGTGTCTTTCCAAAAATTTGTCCATTTCAACAGAGTTGTTGGATTTATGTACATAGAGTTGATGGTAAAAACTTTTCTTCTTCACTTAATGTTAGCCAAAAGGCCAAGTGAGAAGCGATAAAATTTTCTTCTTAATATTTTAATGTCTGTTAAAACTAGAGTGCTGTCTCTCTTTTATTCCTGATGTTGGATATTTATGTCCTCTCTTTTTATCTTGATCAGTCTGGCCATGTGTTTATTAGTTATATTGATCTTTTCAAAGAGCTTGCTTTTGGTTTCATTGATTTTTCTCTATTTTCATCTTTTTAGTATCATTCGTTTCTGTTCTTATCATTATTGCTCCTTTAATTTTCTTTACTTTCAGTTTAATTTGCTCTTCTTTTTCTACTTTCTAAAGGTGGAAGTTTAGGCACTTTTTCTTATTTAATGCAATTTTTAATTATATAAATTTCCCGAGAACTTCTTAAGCTTCATTTTGCAAATTTTGAGGTTGTATTTTCATTGTCGTTCAAATATTTTCTAATTTTTCTTGTAATTTCTTTTTGACCTATAGGTTATGTAGAAGTGTTTTGTTTAATTTCTAAATATTTGGACATTTTCCAGATATTTTTATGTTATTAATTTTTAGTTCATTTCATTGTGGCAAGAAGATATATACATAGCCGGGCGTGGTGTGGTGGCTCACACCTGTAATCCCAGCATTCTGGGAGACCTAGGCTGGAGGATCGCTTGAGGTCAGGAATTCAAGATCAGCCTGAGCAAGAAAGAGCGAGACCCCATCTCTACTAAAAATAGAAAGAAATTAGTCAGACAACTAAAAATATATAGAAAAAAGTTAGCTGGGCATGGTGGTGCATGCCTGTAGTCCCCAGCTACTTGGGAGGCTGAGGCAGGAGGATTACTTGAGCCTAGGAGTTTGAGGTTGCTGTGAGCTAGGCTGATGTCACGGCACTCTGGCCCGGGCAACATAGTGAGACTCTGTCTCAAAAAAAAAGTAAAAAAAAAAAAGAAGAAGATATATATTTTATATGAATTTCAGATTATTGGGTTTTTCTTTTCTTTTCTTTTTTTTTAATTTGTGGAAGTTGGTCATATGGCCCAGAATAGTCTATCTTGGAGAATGTTCTATCTGTACTTGAAGAGAATGTATTGCTCTTGTTGTATGGAGTGTTCTATAAATGTCAATTTAACTGATAATCTTCATACAGTATAAGTACTTCACAGTCCCTATAGTAATAGTATACTTCCAATTGTTCCCTGCTAATTTTGTATTATTGCTGTTGCACATTACTTTTTACATATTTTATAAATTCATAATATTTCTACCATTTTGGCTTTAGGCTATCAATTCTATACTGTTGATCTATACATCTGTACTTAAGTCAATACTACACAGTCTGGATTACTATAGGTTTGTAGTATGTTTTGAAATGAGGGGATATGGATCCTCCCATTTTATTCTTCCTTTCAAGATTGTTTTGGCTATCCTGAGTCCTTAGAATTTCTGTATGAATTTTAGGGTCAGCTTGCTAATTTCTGCAAAAAACACCAGCTGAAATTTTATGGAATCTGTAGATCAGTAGGGGGAGTATTTGCTATCTTACAATATTATGTCTTCCAATCCATAAGCATGGGATATCTTTCCTTATAGTTAGGTCTTCAGTTTCTGTCAAGAGGTGTTGTAGTTTTCAGCTTATTGGTCTTGCACTTCTTTTGTTGAGTCTACTCCTAAGCATTTTATTCTTTTTTGGATTGTGTGTTGGTAATATACAAAAATACAATTGATTTTTGTATATTGATCTTGTTTTAACACATTTTTACATTTTAGTGTCATACACTTTAACAGAGCTCTAAGAAAATAGATAAATATCCAGTACTATTATTTTGCAGCTATAAACTACATAATGCTACATAACTAATTTTAAAGGCGACATAAGACAAATATCTGAGTGTAAAATCTAGGAGTTTTGATTTTTAGGCTTTTCACCTATGCATTTGGTCATACCCTTTATCAAACAAATCTTAAGTAATTAATAAAAATTAATACTCGATTTTCTTTTTCACTTTTAGTGTTAAATGTTTACAAAAGACAGTGAAAGATTCTTATCACATAATGTGCAGACCATGTGCCTGCGAACTCGAAGTTTGTGCAAAATGTGGAAAGAAAGAAGACATTGTTATTCCGTGAGTATTTCCTTTTATGTTTGGATTTTACTCTTAGTTATTGATGCATGAATTTTCTTCTAATGAGATGATCAGTAACTCTTAGTTTTAAATTGCAGTGTATCTCAAATGTAGACTTTTTTCTCCCTGACAGGAAAAAGTCATAATTATTTGTTAAATTTTTCTGTCATTATAATAAGACTTCATATTTTTGAGAAAATAAAATATTTATCCATGAGGTTCACATTCATTACAGAAGAATTACTTGTTATTAAAACAACTTTAACACATTGACACATTGACAAGAAAAAAAAATTTTTTTTTACTTGGGGTCACGGTGTTTTATTACGAAAATGAATAAAAACTTCTGAAATAAAACAATCCTTTCTAATTTAATGAAAAATGAAATTTATTGACTTCACTTAACCCATGTTTTTAGAATTAAATTGTTGATATTAATTGTAACAATAAGAACATCAACAAGTAAGATTTTCACAAACCAACTGTAGGGCTTTGCCCAGGTTTTGCTTCACAAAGCCCTGGGCTCAAAACTAACCTAAGTTAAATACAACTCACGTGGCAGTTAATGCGTTAATGTACACATGTATTAATTTCTTTGAGCCTACTTCAGTGACAATGGTATTATAATTGGTTGGGTCTTGAGTTAGTGTTCAAACATCTTTTTCTCTATACTTATTTCATTAGGCTCCTGTTAATTGAGAAATATAGTAGTAAAGGTCTTTTCAATCTACATAGTTAAATAATGAAAACCTGGGAAGTAATTAGACGGTTTCTTTTTCTCCATCTTTAGGTTTAATGAAGAACCAGATAGAACAGAATATACTGGAAATAATAAAAGTTCCAACCATAGAAGAAGCTGCAGAAGAAATGAAGAAAGTGATGATGATTTGGATTTTGATATTGATTTAGAGGACACAGAAGATAACAATCAAGTGAATTAATATCACTATATTAAATGAAATTCTGACCAACTTTTGACTTTATTTCCCAAAAAATACTGCAAAATCCTAATGATACGATCAGAAAAAGCTATAAAAAATAGGCAAAATTTATGCATGAACAATATAAATTGTGGGTGATATTTGAATAATTATAAAACTTTCAGCCAGAGTTTTCTTATAACAAATTTTTAAGTTGTGTATGCTAGAATATCTGACAAAATGACTATTGCAGTTCATGGGAATTATTTAAAAGAATGTATCACCTAATATCAAACTAATCAAGATTCAAAATTAATGATTATGTAAGAACTATCTCATGTAAAAATAAGATGACATTATTATATTGCCAGCCTCAAAAATTGGTCCTCGGGAAGTACATTTTGATAGAGTGTTCTCAAGTAAACAACTCACATAGCAAAAGTCCCCTTACTTATATTTGCTTGTTACAAAGCAGAAGCATTTTATTTTTTATAATAATGTTTAACAAGTGTATAGCAATTTTTCTTTAAAAGTATTTTTATATACCATATTACATTGTTTTTACCTTTTTTTGTAAAATATGCATACAGAAAAACTGCATAG